TTACAACTCCAGAGACAGCTGGAGATGGTGGGGCTAACTCGGGAGCTTGTGGACAAGCCTCACAATCTGAGATACAGGCCTCTCCACATATGACTCTCATCTGTCCAGTGATATGGTTCCTAATGATAGTAAGAGAGGCTGAACCAGATGCAGCTTAGTTAGGCCTCAACAACGTTCCCACACATCTCGGGAGTGGAATTGCCCAAGACTTCATGCTGTCAGAAACTCCATCGTCACTGGGATGAGGGACAGTTCTGTCCATCTCCTAACAATTAATGACAAGGGGATCGCTGACAAGTACACTATCAGGCACTTCACAGTGTGTCAATTCTGAGTTACTCAGGAAAAGTTCTATTGTTAAAAGAGGAACATTTCTACATTGTTGGTAGGAATGGAAACTGATATAACCACCATGGAAATCAGTGTGGAGATTCCTCAAAAAACTAAAAATAGAAGTTCCATTCAACCCAGCTATTCCTTCTAGATTTCTTCCTAAAAGAGTCAAAGATATTACATTACAGCGATACATGCACAGCCATGTTTATGGCAGCACAATTCATAATAGCTAAATCATGGAAGCAGCCTATATGCCCATCTACAGATGAATGGATTAAGAAATTATGGTATTTAAACATGATGGAGTACTACTCTGCCATAAAGAAAGATAAACTTGAGTCATTTGCAGGCAAATGGATGCACTTTGAGACCATAACATTAAGTGAAACACATCAGATATACAAGCTCAAATGTCACACTGTTTCTCTTATATGGGAAACACAAAATATAAATAAAAAGGAAAATAAATGATAGATAATAGGAAGTAGAGAGATAGATCTTGCCCAAATGTGAAAGGGATCAAAAGATGAGAGGGGAGGGGAAAGGGATGAGAAAAGAATTAATATGTACCAATTCCCCACAAGGAATGTAAATGTTATGTACTGCAAACATTTACTAATAAAAGAAGTTGAAGGCCAAGACAACTCTGAATTCCTGGGATTTGAACACAGGCCTCACTGATGGCAAAGTCCCTGTTCTCAGCCCCTCCTCCCACCACCTCACCCGGCAAGAGGGACCTTCTCTGCTCTGGGTTTCCTCAAAGCCAAAGATGGACTGTCAAGTGCAGATCCCTGAGGCTGAGGGTCACTGGGCCAAGCAGCTGTGCTGAGCACACTCAGCCTCGAAGACACAGGGGCGAGAGCAGCCCATGTCCCCCAGGGCCAGTCCCGAGTCTGTCCTCGGGAAGCAGTATTATCCTCATCACCATGTCATGCCTGTGGACTTAGTTCCAGTCTTTGTGGGGCCATGGATGGAAGATGGTCCTTTCAGTGCCTGGCCGCCTATCAGAAGCCTCCTCCAGTGGGGCTTTTGTAACCTGTTAACAGCCCCAAGCCATGGAGCCAGCCACACTGGGACTGCAATGCAGGAAGAGGAGCCACACGGCCCCAAACTACAAGTGTTTTTGCTGGAAACGCACCCTGACGGGGAGATGGGAGAGGCGCTGCAGAAATTGGGGTCAGGTCTTTGAGACTGAATCATTAGGTCCTGTGGGCTGGAATCGCCAGCAGATACAAGGTTCCTGCTCCTTTTCTAACAAAGCCAGCTCCACCATATCCCTGAATCTCCATCCCCCTCCTCCCACCCACTGTTGCTCACTAAATTTAGATCCTGGTCTGTCCTTTTCCTGTAGGGCGAGGGTATTTTAAGCTCTCTGCAGTGTGGTGCCGCAGGAGAGGCAGGGACTGCAGCCTGCAGTGGAGGCAGACGTGGCGGCTCCCCGTCTGACACCCATCTCTCCCGCACCATCTCCCTTCTCCTCCTCCCTCCTGGGGGCAGCCAGGGGGAGCCCACTGTGAGTGTCTGCAGGACAGCAGGCGGGCAAGGACAGCTTTCCCTGGAAGGCAAGGGTCAGGGAGCCAGCCCCACGTGGGAAGAGACGCAGAAGTGACAGGGAGACTTGTGGCCCTTGACCTTCTTCCCTAAGAAACCACGGAGGGGCTGATGCAGAGATTTTAGAAGCTTTGCTGATGGCGCATCAACTTCAGGGTGGGTTTGACTCAGATGTGGGCACAGCGGTGCCCAAAGGCACAGACAGGACGATGCGGTCTCTGGTTTGGTCCCAGAAGGAACTTGAGTTGCTCCTGAAACAGGAGTTAATATATCTGCTGCTGCAGCTCCACTTCTCCCCAAGCACAGTGCCGTTTATCGGGCACCTTTTATGCAGCTAATTAATTTCCACTGCAGAGTGGACTTGAGAGGAAAACAGCCTCCTGCCCCAGGAGGGAAAACTGGAGCGAGGCCCAGGGAAATGTGTTTGCTGTTTCTAATTAAATTGTGAATAGGTGAACTGGAAACCCTGCCAAGGCCTGAGATCCTGAGGCTTTGCCAGCTTCTATGAGGCCATCAAGAAACATCTTTCCAGACTTTGAGCAACAAAATAAAAACCCATTTGGACTCCTGCCTGCTGCCCTTTCCCTCCAGCAGCAGACATGGCATCTTGTTGCATGCCAAGTAGTGTGTGAGATTCCTACAGCCCAGTGTGTGTGTGTGTGTGTGTGTGCGTGTGTGAGAGAGAGAGAGAGAGAGAGAGAGAGAGAGAGAGAGAGAGAGAGAGAGAGAGAGAGAGAGAGAGAGACAGAGAGAGAGACAGAGAGAGAGACAGAGACTGAGAGAAGCTGAGTCGGCAATTGAGGGCATAAGTTTGGGGCCAGTGGTGCCAGGTGGAGTTCGACATCTCAGGCCTCTGAGCCCCCCGTGCCCACCTACAGTGGCACCTCTGCCTGCCCAGCTGTCACAGAGGAAGACAATGGAAATTTGGGCCGGGTCCTAGGGTGTCAGATCTGAGGATGAAGAGGAAGAACAGGAAGGCTACACCTGTAAGAAATCTTCAGTGGTCAGTGGTTCCGACTGGAGAGCATCCTGGAGGCTGGTGCCGAATGGTTGGACCCCAGCAGATGCCACACTTGGCCAGAGACAGATGATCCAGGAAGGCCCGGAGATGGCCCAGTGATACCAGGACTAGGCTGCCACATGGCAGTTCTTGGGGGTACAGAACTCGAAGCCAGCTTGCCCTCTCCCAAGCCACTCCCTGCCCCTAAAACTTGAGCTGGAGGAAAATAAAGACCCTGAGCCCCAGGTCTCAGGCAGGAGGCTGCTAAGGCAAATAGAAACAGTGGCTTCCCCTCTTCTCCAAGGGAAGCTGTGGTCTCAGAGACAGAGGTGAATGTGGACAAAGAGGATGAGGACGAGGGAATAAGAAGGGGGAGGAGAGCAGGACAAATGCACAGGAATTCAGACCCACCGACGAAAAACTCTCAAACTCCTTTGACAGCTAACGCTCTGCTTGGTCTCAAGGCTCTGACCTTCACCTTGACCTTCAGAGGGACTCCGGGAGTGGTGTTGTCCTAGAAGGTGCCACAATAGCCTGGCGTCTAGACAGACCTGACAGGAGAGGCCGGTGCAGGGCCTCCGATTGGCCGCCTTCTGTCCCCTGACTTCCCAGGCCAATAAGCCCCCGGGGCAGCTCTCTTCCCTGAGTCTGAGAACCACACACAGCCTCATTCACCCTTTCCTGCACCTGTACTGTGTGCCAGGCCCGATGAGAGTTGCAGAGAGAACCCAGACGGAGCCATGCCACAGCCTGTGGGACCAAGGGACCCAGAAGACTTCCTGGAAGTCTCTGACCTGGGCCTTCAGCAGTAAGATGACTGGACACACAGGGATGGCACATGCTGAGTGGAAGGAGCAGCACACACAGGCACAAGGCAGGAAAGAGCCCAGTGACCAGGAAGTAGAGCAGACAGGTGAAGAGGCCAGGGAGGGAGGGAGGCTAGACCAGGCCCACCTGGGCTAAGGGGCCAAGGCACAGCAAGGGGAGGAGACAGGGAGTTTCCCAAAGAGGAGGCCGGCACCTGAGACCAGAGTCAGGGACGGATGGGCAGCGGGGAAGCCCAAGGTCAGAGTCGAGAGTGGGCAGGAGCCTCTTGGGACAGAGCAGGTGAAAACGGGGAGGCTAAGAGTCAGGGAGGCGGCAGCAACGGCAGCCCAGGAGACAGAGTCCTCTCTGAGAGATTTAAGGACAGGGTTTAGACACCATCGGACAAGGAGAGTGGGAGAGGGAGGAATCTAGGCCGACCTTCAGGGCTTAGGTAACTGGGTGAAGGCGAGAGGGGCAGGACAGTGGAATCAGCACAAAGGTTGATGCTGAGGCACAGGATGCCCAGGTGGAGCTACCACAGGTGGCGGAAATACCAGCCAGGAAAGAGGGCGGGGCTAGCAAGGCCACCTGGCAGAGGTGGGGTGGGGGTGGACATCAGGTAGAGGACAGCCACGTCACAGAGCAGTCAGAGGCTCACTGATGCTCTGACTCCCTCACTGCACAGAAAGGAAGCCTTCCTGGGGCAGGGACAGCACAGGAGGGACACTCACTCCCGAAATAGCTCTTCCGGTTCTGTCCTGAGCGACCTGGGGCTTAGGTCAGTCCTGGGACAGAGAATGGAGGGCCAGGCTGAGGCCACTCAGCAGCCACGGCAGGGGAGCCACGGGCCAGGGCAGCTCAGCAGGGATGCTCCAGAGCCCCTGGTTCCAAATAGCAGTGCACCTACCTTCTGTCTTGGACTCCTGGGCCAGGGGTTGGTGTGCTCCCAACAGAATGTTCCAGAAGACGCGGAAAGGGCTGACAGTGTCCCCCACAAATCACTGGGGGTCCACCCAGGAGTCTGCAGGACTCCTTGAGTTGTCTCTGTCTAGGGGCGCTGAGGGGAGTGAGACCCCCTCTTCCTCTCCCAGTGACCCTGAAACCCACACCCAGGGAGAGGGTAGCTAGGACGCAGCTCCTGCAGATTTTTTTTTTTTTTTGGTTGTTTTATTTGAAAACCCCAGGGTGTGTCCCCTCTCTGGCCACACCCAGCCCCTACCCCCACCCAGGACATGACAATGCCACACACACACAAGGCTGTGAGCTGCACACAGGGACACGGGGTTGCACTCACGACAACACTGAAAAAATATACATCATATATAATACACCCAGAGCTCCTGCTCCCCTTCCCAGCCCCACCAGCCAGCCACAAGCTGGCCATGGAGGAAGGGGCAGGGCTGTGGGACCCCAGGACTTCAGGGCATAAGAGGAAAGAGAACAACAAAGGAAGGGGACTTGGGGAGGTGGAGGAGCGGGGATCCCCAGAGAGAAATGGAAGTGGAGGTGAGGAGATCGGGAGAGCAGCGGGGCAGGCCCAGTCGCCGGGGCCAGGGAGGACAATCTCCGGGACAGGACAGCAGAAGGCCGCAGAGCCCCTCCACCCCACCCCTGCCCGGCCATGGCTCTCGACACCTCCTCCCCAGTACAGAGCAGGGCTGGTGGGGAAGACAGATACAGGGGAGGAAGGGGGCCTCTGCCGTGGGGGACAGAAAGGGCTACTAGGGTCCCCCAGCCACCCCGGGTGCCACAGGAGCAGCCAGGGGAGGACAGCCCCACGGCAGGGGAGGGTGGAGGAGGAGGCCAGGGGTGGTGCCAGGAGGGCTACTGGCTTTCCAGACTGAAGGACGGCTGTCGAAGAGCCGCCTGCCTCTTGGTCTCTTCTCTCAGAACGTCCTTCTGCTTCTCCCCCGGGTCTGTCTCCCCAGGGCAGAGCTTGCTTTTGCTCTCTGGCAGGAGCCTGGCCTCAGTAGCGCTGTGCGGGGCTCTCAATGATGCGTCTCTCATCGCTGCTCGGGGAGTTGGCTGCCTCTGAGTCGCTGCTGTCCTCGTCCTCCTGCTGGCTCCCGGCTGCCCCTACTACACAGGCCTGCCGACTCTGGTAGGACTGCACAGGGCAGGAGCACAGGGCAGGAGCACAGGAAGACGGGTCGGCAGCCTGCCCCACCCCAGGGCCTCTCCTCTGGCCCACGCTCCCACCTCTGCCCTCCAGAGACACCGGAGCAAGCCAGGTCCCTCACTGGTCTCTGCCGACCCCTCCATATCAGAGCCACTCACCTCCATCGGGTTCACAATGATGGTGAGAGCAGAGTCATCCCAGAAGAGGTCCGGGTCTTTGGGGTCACTGGAGGCCCCCGGGGGCCCACTGAGCCCTGAGACCCGGCGGTGAAGGGAATGGATGCGCACAAGGCCCAGGATGACCATGAGTACCAGGAAGCCCACACACACCACGATGATGAGGGTTGCGGCACTGGGGACCACTGTGGGGAGAGCAGGAGGAGAACATAGGGATATGGCCAGGTGGGGCACTGGACCGGGCAGAGGCTGCCCAAGCAAGAGGAGTGCTGTGCGAAGTGGCCCAGGACAGGTCGGAGCCTGAGGAGCTGGAAGAGAAATGGGCACTAGGAAGGGCAGGAGCAGAGCAGCTGCGGCAGGACTGGAGTGCATGCGGAGAGGGAGGCAGGGGCCAGGGAGGGGACGCTCCTGGCCAGTACTGCCATGACAGCAACAGAGTGCAAGGACAGAGCCTGCCTAGATAGAGATGCCCAGACAGAGGGACGGAGGGGATAGCCACAGGGGCCTGACTGAGGCAGGAGCAGATGCAGGCTCCAAAGCCCTCCTGGAGGAGCTAATGGCCCCAGGGTCGGGGACACGCCAAGGGGCAAGGAGCAGCCCCTTCATGTACCCACCTGAGCTGGACTCGCTCCTGCTTGTCGACACCTCCCTCCTCCTCATGGGCTCAAGGCTTCGGGACGCGTGGGGCCTCTGCTCCTTCCTGGCCTCCCCCTGAGGCATCCCCGCCTCCCCCTCAGAGCTCCCCTTTTTCCCACCCTTCAGCCTCACTTTGATGCCCAGGTTCATGGGGATGTGGATCCTGACAGGCAGTGAGAGGTGGAAGGGTACCTGCACCCACACGCGGACCTGCGAGCTGATGGAGGACAGACAGACGTGCATGCACAGGTACAGGCCCAGCAAGAACACGTGGGCACACAGCTGAACCAGAGCCACCATACCCTGCACCTGAGCCAGGGCCCCAATGGCCTGCACGCCTGTCCTCACCATCCACCTGGCCACCTGATCAAATATCGGAATTAACAGAACGTGTCTCAGCGTCTCCAGAAAGGTGTGGAAGAGCCACAGGTGCAGAGCCACCCAGCTCCCCACCAGCTGAGCAGACCAAGCAAGCCCCTGCAGGAGGACGTAAACACTGCAGGCTTGGGCCACGAGGACTGCAGAGGAGGTGGCTTTGCACACGGCCCTGCCCGCCCTCAGCACACACAGGTACAGCTCTCTGAGAAGCACAAGGGGGCAAAGCAGGGACGTCTCCAGCCCCAGGCACAGCACATGGAGGCAGAGACCCCACAGGTGCACCCACAGGCCCAGGGCCTTGGCAGGCAGCTGAGTCACAACAGGCCACATGTCCACACCCCTGCAAGACACCTTGACCCAGGACACGCAGCCCTTGCTCAGGGGCTAGTCCATGTGAGTTGCACAGGCACGCCCCTGCACACACACATCACATCCCAGCCCAGCCCCAAGTTTACCTACAGCCTGAGACTTTCACAGCGATGGACAGAGCAGAGCAGAGACGCATACAGCCCAGGAGCCCCCCAACCCTGCTGCAGATGACCTCCTCAGCAGCCACCAGCACGCTCACAGTCACCCACTCCAGTGCCAGGCAGGTGTACGCGGAAGGCCTGGCTGGGCAGGACTGCCAGCCATGCACCTCCCAGAGGCCGCCCAGGGCTCTTGGCCAAGTGTGTCCCCAGACTGACCTGATCCACAGCCCACTCAGGGCCACTTGCCAGGCAGACTGACTCTGCCAGAGCAGCGTGGTGGGCAGGCTTCGGGGCACTGGCTCCCAGGAGAAGATGGGCCAGGCAGGATGAAGTTTCTCAACCACCTTCGAATGGGGGAGGAGGGCCAAGGAGACAGAGCCACCCTTCCTGCCCACCAGCCTAACACAACCCCTTCTGTCTCCTAGTCAGTGGGCAAAACCACCCCACTCGCTGATGGCCCGGGGGCTAAGCCGGCCCACAGTGGGGCCTCGGCCAGTCAACTTTCACCCGGGCACCAGGAGAACAGGCCAAAGTTTCTGGCATATGCTGCATCGGTGCATTTGTCCCTCTGAGCCCCGGGCTGGTGAAGAAAATGCCAGGTTGGTTACCAGGAATAAGAAAGGACCCCAAGAAAGATAAAATACAGACACTCTGTAGGCAAACAAGTCGGGTTAATTAGTATAAGATGGCCCAGGGGCCAGGGATTTAGCTCAGTGGTTCAGGCACCTGCTTTGCAAGCACAAGGTCCTGAGTTCAATCGCCCGTACCAAAAAAAAAAAAAGATGGCCCAGGACGCCGGGGAGATGGGAGAATTTTAAAATTAGCTACAGACAAAAATCAAGAATATAAGAAGTTCCAACACCCTTTCTAGCTCCATTAGATGCGATCAGTTCACTCTGCCCTTGAGCAACCTCTCTGGCCTAGTGTCAGGGCTGTTTTAGCAAACGGCCCATCTATTGTGAGGACACTATTGAAATCCCTGTCCTCACCCCATGTGGTCCCCTCCTTGTGAAGAAAGAGCCTCAGGGGAGTCACGTTGGTTCCTACCCTACTTGGTTCCTACCCTGCGGTCCCACAGCTGCTCCACTTTCCTTCCACTTTAGCTCCAAGGAAGCCCAGAGTCAAAACCCTGGCACGCCCCTGCATCTGTATTGTACATCTCAGCACGCACTTGATGAGGTGGCCTTATTCCCTGGCTACATCACTGACCTTTTCTCTTTACCTCCTCATTCATTTTCTTTTCAATCCTCTTTCTTTTGTGAGTTTTTCTGGGAAGCTTCAGATTTTTGTAGGAAACAAAGTAGGGAAACGGTGTCCAAACTTTGCCGGGCACCAGAAACACAGGGGATCTTGGAGAACCACTGATGCCTGGCTGCCACCCCTAGACGTTCTGACATCACTGTTTTGGGGTGTCACTTAAACCCCAAGACTTTTTAAAGCTCCCGAGTGACTATGATGCACGTCAAAGTTTGGGATAACTCCGTTATCTCCTCTCACCCTTCTCAAACAATCTCATTCTCCCTTAACTGCCCTCCTAGATTCCCAATTTCTCAGCTTCCCAGTGCTTCTCCTGCTTGCAGACCTTCTCTCCAAGGTCTGAGCTCTGACCCTACATAGGCCACCCGCCCCTGACCATCCTAGTTGGCACAGATCTTTGTCCAGAGCACATGGAGCCACAGAGAAACGGGCCTCCGTCCCACTGGGCCAGACCGTATCTCCTGCTGCTTGTGCATGATTAATTTGACATTTCGAAACCATAATTCTGCAACATCACCCTTGGGCTCAGGAAGAGGGAGGGAAGGAAGACCTGAGGAGTCAGAAAAGGGCTGGAACAGGTTTGATGAGGCGGATCACCTCTTGGGCCAGGTTATGGTGCCTCTCCAAGGCCCTCAGCCAAACTCTGACCCCTGCGCCTGCTCAGGCCAAGACAAGGAAGGAAAGGCCGACTGGAACTCGAAACTGAAATCTAGAGGGAAGCATGGGGCACCTGGACTCCAGCTCAAAACAAGGATGGAAGGAAAAGGAGGCAGGGAGAGAGAAGACCCCAGTGGTTCAAAAAAAATAAAGATTTAGTTCACTAGAGTGTCTCCATTGACTAAATATCATGTGACATGCCTTTGAACCTTTCTTTGCTCCTTGGTTATGCTTGGGGGGTGGGGGCAGCAGTGGAGATTAAACTCAGGGCCTTCTCACTAGGCTACCTCCGCAGCCCATTTTTACTTTATATTTTGTGACAGAGTATTGCTGAGTTGCTAAGTTGCCCAGGCTGGGCTCAAACTTGTGATCCTCCTGCCTCAGCCTCCTACAGTGCTGAGGTTACAGCTGTGCACCACCACACCCAGCTTTGGTTATGCCAGGGCTGAGGGCCATGTTAGGGCACAGGCTTTTGGAATCACACTGTCTGGATCCTAATGCTGGCCCTATCTTTGCATTCTCTGTGCCTCTATATCCTTGCACTTAAATGGAATCACTCTGACACCTATCTCATTTGTTGTTTGCAATGGCTCGATGAGTTCTATGTGTAAACACAGTGATGGGCACAGTGTGAAAGCTCCTTGTGTTTGACAACCTATTCTTACCTTTACCGGCCCTGGAATGAGTGTTGCCTGCCTGGCAGCGGTCAGTGACAATTTCCCCCAAGCAAGCACTCCCGGGCTCCGTAGGGAGTTGCCTAAAAGCCCCCTGCACTGCTGTCTGACATGCTTCCAAAGTGACCAGTCGAAAAGTGGCTTCAATGTTTACAAAATTACAATGCCTTCCAGAGCCAGCTCTGACAAAAGCAGATGATTAAGTCGGATAATATCAAACAGGGCCCAAGGCAAGGTGGGTCCCGAAAAAGTGACACAAATAAATTTATCTTGTAACTTGGTTTTGAAAACAACTTTAAAACAGAATTCCAAAAGTCACTTTCAGCACTGTCAGCATCATCTGTCAGTGTTTAGTAATGTACGGAAAGACTTGCTTGATAAAATAAATGTAAATATCAGCTTACTGAATAGTTTGCAACTTCATAGAGAGAAGAAAAATGCATAGAAAACAGACTGGAACATAATATACTGTATCAAGAGTGGTCTCCTCTGTGGTAGAAGCCTGGCTCATTGTTCTTTCTCATTTTTCACACTTGTGTTGTCTGGTTATTTCTACAATTAAGCAACTCTTACATTGAAAACAAAATTGTCCCACTGGTAAAGGACCATGGTCAGGGAACAAGACTGTTTTGAAGGCAGCTCCCCATCTGGAGGTAAACCTTTGCACATTTTGTCTTAGAAATATTCTGACAATTTTGTAGACGCATATAATTATAGCAACTCTCTCCTTGAAGGAAGGACAGTATCAATAATTCTTTTATGTCCCAAACACCATTTTAATCAGTGCTAGTACCCTGTGGGTGCTTCATAGATGTCTGAGAGCTTCATACAGATCTCTAGGTCTACAGCTAATTTTATATGGCCGGGGTTAGCAGGAATCGTAAAGACACAGACACCCCACAATGACTGATGCCAGTGCCCAGGTCAATGACTGAGGAAGGGACAAGTCCAAAGCTGCCCACTAAGCAGGTGCCAGGGGAATAGAATCCACTGCTCTACACTGAACCTCCCGTCCCAGGCTGAAGGGGAGGCTCCCTGTGCCCAGCCCTCCCTGCCCAGTCTGCCTCAGCTTACGTACTGGAGTTCCGGTGGGAGCTGGCCAGGCTGTGCCCAGCCATCTCGGGAGGGGGCTGGTGACCTCGGTGCAGGAACTGCTGGGAGCTGAGCACGTGACTGGGATGTGCCACCCGGTTCACACTGTGCAACACGTTGACCTGGGCAGAGGAAGGGCTCCATGGCACACGCTCCTCACCTCCAGGGCCCAGTGCCACCTCCTAACTGCCAACCCGCACCTCCTCCTCTACCCGGGGCCAGGCCAGGAGTCCCCCAGGCTGCAGTGTCCCTGCCCACCAGCCACAGACATGAGCTATGGTGGAAGGAGCTCTGGGTACCTCCACAATGAATTCATTGCTGGAATAGCGGCCGTTCATTTCTGAGCAGGACAGCCGGAACTTCCTGGCATAGAGGGCGGCTCCATGTCGCAGCTGATAATGAGCCTGCCTCAGGATCTCCTCATACACGGTGATGCTCTCCACACCTAGGGAACATGGACGCATGTGCAGGGGCCAGCGAAGGCAGCCTGGGCAGCTCTCTCACTCCACTCCCACCAGACACCCGCAGGCAAAGCCACAGAAGGCTCAGCACCATCCCTACAGGGTGTGCTCTGGGCTCCCGAGGCAGAATGCTGCCGCGCCCTCCACTCCACTCCAGTGTGCTGGGGCGAGTGAGCAAGGCCCCACTTCCTGCTCTGCCCTTCTGGGCCAGCTCTGTGGCTTCTGGGGAGGAAAGGAGAAAGCACAACAGAAGGGAGGTGACAGGCAGGAGAGAATCAGAGGGAGAACACACAGCCTCCCTGAGGCTCGGAAGGGGATGGAAACAGGAGGGGGTGGTCAAAGGCCTCTTCTCCCTTCTTCCACCCTTTGGGCCCTGCAGAGTATTCTGGAAACCAGCAGCTCACCACTCCCCAGCATTCATTAATAGATGATCACTCGACTCAAAGCTGCAGTGTGTGTTCTTTCCACTCCCCTTCCCTCCCTTCCACTCCTCCACCCAAGGTATATCAGGTACAGGTACAAATTCCCAATGATGAATGTGATCATAATGTATACCTAAAATGTACGAATAAAGTTAATTAAAAAAAGAAGCCAGGGCTGGGGATTTAGCTCAGTGGCACTGTGCCTACCTTGCAAGTGCAAGGTCCTGAGTTTGATCCCCAGTACCAGGAAAAAAAAAAGCTACAGTGTACGCTGGAGTCGAGTGAGCTGGAGGCCAGGGAAGGTGACTGATAATACCAAACAGCTGGAGGACCCAAAAGCTCATCAGGAAGCCTGAGCTCAAAGAGGGGAGGATAACAGAGGCCTGGAGGGAAACAGAACCGAAGCCAGGGGCAGATGTGAGTCCAGCCATGGAGAGGAGAGAGAAGAGAGGAACATGTGGACCCTACAGCACCTGGCATACTTCCCCAGCTGCAATATGGAAGCCAAAGGATCTTCCAACTGGGAAGGTACAGGTGGCACTTGGCCACCCCCTGGGCCTGGAAGGACCCAGGCGCTTCCTCAGGTGAGGGGCACAGCCACATGAAACACAGCTCCTGACCCCACTGACCAGCGATGGTGAGGTAGGCAGATGTGTTGGTGAGCTCCAGCCCTCGCTGCTGCACGGATGTCATGTCCAGGAGCAGGCTTTCCTTCTCGGGGTCCAGGTCGTCTCCCACCAGAGAAACTTCACAACCATCAAGGTTGTGCACAATCTCATCTGACATGCGTGTGTCCGTCACTGGGTGGGAGAGAATCGGAGTCCAGGTCAGAGCTGGGCCCACTGAGGTTCTGATACCCGGCCATCACCATCAGTTCATGGCCACTTTTCTGCCCCTGCTAGGGGCTTTCCATAAAGGAAGTCAGCATCATTTTCATCAAACCATTATGCACAGTCTCCTTACACCCACAGGCCTCCTAAGGTTAAGATGACATCGTGCAAAAACACACGAAGTACTCGTCTGCAGCCCCCATCCGCTCCCTCGTTCTGCTTGCAGACATTGGGCCCCGCCGTGGATGTCACTTCCTGGGGCCATCCTCACCTGTCCCCTGCCAACTTTCATCCTTTTTGGCCTCCACTTGGTGAGAAATGGAGCAAGTGATCTGAAGATCAGGGAACAGAGGGACACCTTCGGGTCCCTCAAAGTCCACAGCAGGGCGGGCAAAATGGGCAGTGCCGCTTAGCAGGATCTGGGGAGCATCAGGCTGAAGAACCACCACATAGCCCTCCACTTCGGGGATGGACACACAGGACTCTTCGCTGAAACACCTACAAGAGAGGGGAGACAGACCACACGTGACCCCAGCACTCTCTCCCTTAAAATCTAGGTTCTGTTCATCACTGCGGCCTCCACCTCTACAGCACAGCACCCCCTGTCCAGGGGAGGGGAATAGTACATCTGCACCCCAACCCCATAGCAAAGTTGGAGGGGGTTGGGGACAAAAGGTAAGACAGCCCCAACCTGTGGGGGATTGCATCATCAATGCTGTACCCCAAGATTACAGAACATCTATCAAACTCTATCTGGATAAAAAAAGAAATTGAACTGACAAATATGTGTATATATACACATAGTTCTTTGTTGATGTTGTTGTTGTTTTGTTTTGTTTTGTTCTGTTTTTGGTACCGGGGATTGAACTTGGGTCTTTCCACTTGTGAGGCAGGCGCCAGAACCACTAAGCTAAAATCCCCAGCACTACACATAGTTCTTTATCCAGGAGGTTAAAAAAAATACACAGTTTCAGTATACGGTCTGGCAGATGTTGCCCCCAAAATATAAGGAGGGATCTATCAAAGGGCGCCATCTTCCTCAGTGTGTCTTCCATTCCCTCCAATATCAGAGAAGCTGACCACTGGTGAAGATAAGTGACCTTGGACTTAGACCCACCACCCCGCGGCCTGACTGACCTGGGCATCAGTCCTAGAGGACTCCGCCACTCTGAGCCAACCAACAGGGCACCGCCCAGGACCCAAGCTTCGGGGAGAACTCCAGCCCCGCTCTGCCAGCAGCACTGACACCAACCATCTCATAGCACTTGCTGGTTTGTGAACCACTTTGCCCACATCATTTTATTATCACCTGTTCCTGTGCTGTAGAATAGGGATAAGAAACCGAAGCTCTTAGATCAAGTATGAGGCACACACAAGAAATATTGTCAATGGCAAGACTTAAATCCATTCTTCTTATTCCAAGTCCACTGACCTTTTCACTAAACCACAGCTACCATTTGGAGCCTGGGTCGGCACCAGGGAAATGTATTTATAAAGAAATTTCCTGGGCTGGGGATTTAGCTCAGTGGTTCTGCCGCCTGCCTCGCAAGCAGAAGGTCCTGAGTTCGATCCCCGATACCAAAAAAAGAAAAGAAAAGAAATTTCCTGCTTTGGTTTGAATGTATCCCCCAAAAACTATGTGCTGGAAATGTAAACCCCAATGAACAGTGTCGGGAGGTAAGACCTAATAGCAAGGCTCATGAGTGGATTAATGCTGATTACAAAAGGACTGAAGCTTCAAGTTTGATCTCTCTCTCCCTCTGTTTCCACCATGAAATGATAATACCAAGGCAGCCCTCATCAGATGCCAGGCTCTATAAGTGGCCTAGTCCCAGGAATTCCAGCAGCACCAAGCTGCCCGGGACAGGAAATCACTTTCAAAGAAGTACCTAAAAACATGGAAGCAGCTGTGGACCTGGGCAGTGGATATGGGCTAGAACAGCTTTGAAGGGAATGCTAGGAGAAGCTTGAAGAGAATGCTGGGAGAAGCTTGTGCTGCCCCAACAGACAGGGCTCAGAAGAGAAGAACTGTAGGGAACGCATGGAACTTAGAAATTACCTACGAAGTCATCATCAGAACATTGTAGAACTGCAGGCAGCAACAGCCATTCTGATAAAATCTCTTTTGTGCTCACTTCAGCAGCTCATATTCTGATAAAGTCTTGTTAAAAAATGAGGACTATCAAAAGAAAAAGGACAATCTTATTGGATATTCATAAAGACTATCCTTGGGGAAAAAATTGGCTAAATTATGGTCCATGCTTGATAGTTTTGTGGAAGGCAAAATTTAAGAGCAATGAACTAGATCACCTGGTGAAAGAAAAATGCTAAACAAAATATCGAAGATGTGTGGCTACTTTTAGCCACATACAGTAAAATGAAAAAGGAAAGAAATGATTTAAAGGTGGAATTTATCACTAAAAGGAAAACAGACCTTTAGGGGCTTGAAGAATTCCCAGCATGACCAAGTGAAAACAGAAAATGTGCACCAGAGTATGGCCAGGCAACCCTCTGACGAAGGGATTTGCACGGACAGAAGGAAGCAAGGTGCTTTTCATCAAGACACGGGGAGAATGGCCCTGAAGCCATTTCGGAGACCTTCAGAAAAGCCCAGGATACCTACGAGAAATTGTCACCCACAACCCTGTGCCCCTCAGGTCCTGTCCCCCACATTCTGGAGCAGTGCCCTTCGGCCACGACTCCATCATCTCAAATGCAGTCTGGACCACTGCTCCAAAGGGGACAGGGAGGAAGCCCTGGTGGCACCACGTGCTACTGCCTCATCATGAGCTCAGGATGCAAGAGCTACGGGGGCATGGCTTCCTCCACTCGGTACCAAAGGATATCCGGACAGCCTGTGGACTCAAGCAGAGACTTGTCACTAGGGAAAGCCACCATCATGCTTCCTACTGGGGCAACACTGAGCAGAACGGCGAGTTGGAAGTCTCCGAGGGCAGAGTCACCACAGAGACCCCAGAACTGTACAGACCTACCAGCATGCAGCACTGGCTGGGAGAACTGACGGCGCTACAGGGCCTGAGCCCAGCCCAGCCATGGGAGTGGGGCTGCCCATACCTTGGGGGCTGAACCCCACCATGGTGCGTCCAACAAGTGTCCCGTGGGGCTACTCAGAGGACTACTCTGGAGTCTCAGGATTTAATGCTGCTGCCCTGGTAGCCTCTGCACTGCCTGAGACCAGTTACCCCTTTCTTTTTTTCCTTGTTGCTCCCTTGTGGAACAGGAATGTCTATCCCATGCTTGTCCCATCATGATTTTTTGGAAATGGGTAACTTTAATTTCACAGGCTCACAGGTGGAGGGGAATTTGCCCCAGGATGAATCCTGCCTTGAGTCTCACCCGTATCTGATTTAGGTGAGACTCTGGACTCTGGACATTGGGCTGTGCTGGAACAAAACAAGACTTTGGGGTCACTAGGCCAGAATGAGCGTATTTTGCATGTGAGAAGATGATAAATTGTGGGGGCCCCGGGGCAGAATGCTATGGTTTAAAGGCCCCTCTCCAAAAAGGTTCATTTGTAGGCAACTTAACCCCCGATGGAGTGGTGTTGAGAGGTAGGGCCTAATGAGAGGTGTCTAGGTCATGAAAACTCCACTCACAGGAGTGCATGGGTTAAATATTAACTATGGAAGGACTGTAGTGCTCGCTCTCGCTCTCTCACTCTCTCTTCTTGCCTCTCTCTCCCATTCTCTCTCTCTCTCTCCCTCCCTTCTTCCGCACCCTCCTTTCTGCTGTTCCGCCAGGGGATGACACAGCAAGGAGTCCCTGGCTAGATAAATCATCCAGGCTCAGTATCCTGTCATAGCAGCGCAGAAGGAACTGATACATCTGCCTTGAACAAGAAGATTCACACGAGAGTAGGGACTCAGGTGCACACACTGCCACTGACTGAAATGATTTCACAGAGAGAGCTGGAATTATTAATGCTACTGAGCGTGCCCGGCTTGGCTGCTCAAGCAGCAGATGCGATGGCCGCAGGGCCCTGGAGTTTCCAACGACCATGACTTGCTGAGTTCCTGAGCCACACAGACTAGGCCCCTCAAAGGAGGGGAAGGCACTGCCCTCCTGGGCAGGAGGGAGAATGGGTGGTGAGGAGGACAGTAAAGGGAACAGAGGAGTGTGAAACAGGAAAGGGAGGCAAGCGTGCTGGGCATGTAGGTCAGTGGTGCTGTGCCTGTCCCACGTGTGAAGGCCCTGGGTTCCATCCTCAGCAACACACACACACACACACACACACACACACACAAATACACACACACAGAGAAGGTGGGAGGGAGGAGGAGCAGGAAAGGAGGGAGGGAGGCAGGCAGGCACACATGGCTGAGAGCTCTGAATGTGATGAGAGTTCAATCTGTGAACTGGGCATGGTGCTGCACACCTGGAATCCCAGCACTCTGGGAGGCCGAGGCAGGAGGATGGCAAGTTCAAGCCTAGCCTGAGAAAATTAAGGACTTAGCAAGACCCTCTCTTAAAATAAAAATTTACAAAAAGGCTGGAGATATAGCTCAGTGTGAAGGCCCTGGTTTCAATCTTCAGTACCACAAAAGAGTCTAATTTTTAGTTTTATACCATGGACAGAAAGTCCATGATGTCTTATTTATAAAGGAGTATGCTCACAAAAAGTCTGATTTAAGATCACCACAGGGTGGAGAGTGAACTAAAACTACATCGAGTAGTTGGGAAGCGGGACAAGAGGCCAGGTTTGAGGTCTTGAAAATGGAAAAAGACAGAACAGTTTCCAGACACCCGCACAAAAGCGGATTAGGTGTCCTGGGAACTGATGGGGCATGGGGGATAAAGAGGGAGGAGCCAAGGATGCCTCAGGAGTTTCAAGCCCGGATGATGCAAGGTTAGAGAAGCCATTAGAAAGAGAAGTTGAGGACCAGGGATTTAGCTCAGTGGTTTCACCACTTGCTGTGCAAGCTTAAGGACCTGAGTTCGATCCCTGGTACCAAAAAAAAAAAGGTTAGAGAAGTTGGGCCCAAGCTGGGTGGTGCACACCTGGAATCCCAACATTATGGCAGGAGGATTGCAAGCCCAAGACCAGACTGGGCAACTTAGGGAGAACCTGCCTCAAAATAACATTTTCAAAGGGCTGGGAATAGAGGTCAATGTGAAGGCCCTGAGTTCAAGCCCCAGTACTGCAAAAGAAGAGGGGTGGGGTGGGGGGTGGGGGGAATTATTGCAAGTACCTACTTTGGGCACTGGTTATTTATAAAGTTGATTATTTCAGAATTAGCTCACCTGGGTTGAGGTGCTGGCAGAACTTCTAGACAGAGGCTGCAGGAAGCACCTATAGACTCAAGAGCTATGGAAAGAAGACAAAGCTAGAGAAAAAGATGTTGTTTCCATCGTTCAGGGGGTAATGTCAGGAGTAGACAAGTTTTCTAAGAAACAGATTTGAATTTTTTTTTTAATTTTTAACTCTTAGAAAACTTGCATTTATTTAAGCATGGACCAAATAGTTGCATAAATCTGGCTTTAAATGGACAGAAATCCAAGTGCCAACAACTGGAAGCTAAGGAAGCCACATGGACAAAGGCAAAGATACGCATTTGAGAGGTGGTGCTCGGTCTCTCTCTCTCTCTCTCTCTCTCTCTCTCTCTCTCTCTCTCACACACACACACACACACACACACACACACACACACACACACACACCTCTATATTTTTCCCCACACTCCCAGGGAAGTTCTAAGATGACACCAACCATGAGGGAGGCTTAGACTTGGAAAAACCAGAGCTGTCTTTCTTAACCTCTTAAGAAAATGCCAAGGCCCTTTCCTCCTTCTAAAGGACCAAGAGCGGGTTCCGCACCCTTGGATGGGCCTCCATCCAAGCCCGAAAGAGGCATGAGGAATTCAGTGGAGCCACTAACAGAGAAGGTCAGCTCCTCCACGTGGGGATTCCTCCTGCTGAGCTCCACCTCTGGGCAAAATCAGAGCCTGCCCTTCTGCCGTGCCTCCTGAGGACACTGAAGGGAAAGAGCTGAGTCCCTGGTCTCTGAGGGACTGAGCCCTCCACAACTGGGCGGTAACCCTTTAACACTGGAGTTCTGACAAGAGCGCGGTGAGTGCCCACTTAGCTCTGACCTGCGCCTGCGGCCTCAATTTCCATGACCTTTGGCTCCATGCCAAAACCACACACCACAGACCAGTGGCCCAACTCCCAAAAGCCACTGCCTCTGCCTTCCACAGCCCTAACTGAATGTGAGGCCTGACAGTCAGGCCCACTGGAGTCACAGATGTTTATCTTCAGATAGCTGGAGAAACTGGGGCAGAGTAGGAAGAATGCAGGAATCCTGGCTTCCAGATCATGTACTGCACCCACCAAATGGCAGTATCTCCAAAAACAGGCCCATGCACCATGATGAGGTGTGAAAATGCCTTCATACAAGAGTAGTCAAGCTTTAGACTCTGCTAGGCATTTGATCTGGATTCTAACATTTAGTTCTCATAATGATTCCTTCAGACTCTATTATTATCCCTCATTTGCCAAGTTTATTTAAAAAGCTAGTAACAGGTCCTGTGTCCTTTACTACTTATGCTCTCATTGTCTCTCAATCTGTATTTTTAAGTACCTAATGTATGCCTAAACTTTGAAACAATGTAGAATTTTTCTTTGAAAGGATCCAAAATCATTCACTTAGAATTCAGAGGTAAGCCAGCTTCTCCTGCAAAGGACCAGTCAGTACATAATCTCATCTTTTGGTCCATATACAGCCTCTGCTCCAAACCCCTGGGCCACACTATGTTCCAATAAAACTGTGTTTACCAAACAGACAGCAAGCCTGGGACCATAGGTTGCCAACCCCTACACTTGGCTCCTTACATTGGCCTGGAAAGTCTTAGTGAAGCAGATTAAAACAGGCAAAGCAAACCAAAGTTTGTTCTCTGCTCAAGGTCATCCAGCCAATTTGAGTTGAGTCAGATGAACGTCAGGCCCCCCAGCCCCCAGTCAGCTCTGTCCCACTTGACCCGTCAGCAAAGGGACCCCCAAAGCCCCAAGATATGAACTGCTCCTTGGGAAACCCGAGTCTAGCCAGGCTCTGCTCCCAACATTCCCACATGACCTTGGGCAGCCAACTGCCCTCTCTGGGAGCTCAGAGGGGGAGGCCCGCTCCAGGTGACATCTTAGGCCACCCAGCAAGACCTGGCCTGCTCCGACTGCCCTGGCCACCCAGCACTCACTTGACGGCAGTGGTGAGGCGCAGGGGCCTGACGCCGGGCGTAGCAAAGCGCAGACTGTTCATGTAAGCCACATGCTGCAGGGCGTGGTTGAAGGTCTCCACATCATCCCCCTCCAGGGTGAGCAGGGACTGTGAGGGGTTCACGTGGACCTGGGCCCCAGACACAGACACAGCTGAGAGCGGGACAGGAGGTGGGCGGAAGGAGGCAGGTGGAGAGGTGGGGTGGGCAGGGGCAGGGGCCATGCTGGGAAGGAGAGGGTGGGAGTGGTCTCTACCTTCATGCCTTTGCCCAGGCTCTCGAAATCCCTATAGTCCAGCCCCTCCCGGCATGCATAGAGGCACTCGATGACCTCGCGGCTCTCCAGGCGACCTGAGCGCACGCTGAAACCAGCCAGGTAGCCATGGAAGTAGTGGTGGATCGGCAAGGGGTCTCCTAGGGCAGAAACACAGGGGTAGGCCAGCGGTGAGAAGAGGAAAAAGAGAGGAGGAGGGGATGGGAGGGGGCCTAAGAAAGGGGGAAAGAGGATGAGCAGGCTATAAATAAGGAGAAACTTGGAAGGGAAAAGAAAGAAAGGAAAGAGATTAGATGTGAGAGAGCAGTGAGGATAAGAGACAGGCCGGAGATGGGAGCAGTGGGACCAGACGGGCTGGGGCTGCAGCTCAGGGCCAGAGGGCTCACCTAGTGTGCAAGGCCTGGGTCCCAGCCCAGCACTGCAAGAGAAAAGGGAGGTGCAGAAGAGAGGGTAAAGCCAGGGAGAAAGAAAAATGAAAAACAGACACGACAGAAGGAGAGAGAAGAAAGAAACAAGAGGAGAGGGGAGGAGAAGCTCAAAGGAAAGGAGGAGGCTGAAGGAGTGTTCCGACGGTGACATGCAAGGACACCAGGACGGATGTGTGTAAGCTTCGCGGACAGAAGCTCTCCCCCTCCTGCATGTCTGCCTCATGCCGCCTCCTTTCTACCTGAAAAGCCAGCAGGAGGGGCCCTTTCCTGCATTCTGTGTTCACCCAGTACCCAGCCTTGCTGCTCCAGGCAGACCCTGCCTGGCTGAAATTCTGCAAGGCTCTGCCCCCTGGTGGCCCGTGAAGTAGGAACTACAGAGGCCCAGTGAGACTTGGGGTGGGAAAGAGCACAGAGCAGAAAATCAGGACGAGAACTCTGGGGTCTGGGGGTTTGCACACAAAGTACCTCGGGTGGTGTCTGTACTGTTGTCTCCTCCCTTTTCCTTCTCTTTGTTCTTCTCCTCTGGGGACCAAAAAAAGTGGCAGTGATCTCAGGGTGGTGGGGACAGATGGACGAGAAAAACAAGAAGCCCTCATGCCCACTAGGACTTGCAGCCGCTCAGCTGAGTCCCAACCCCACTTTGGTTGTGCCCCAACTTCCCAGGCTTCTGTTACAGATACTCCCTCAAATATGTTGCAGGGGGAACACAAGAGCCTGGCCAGCTAGGCACACGCGTGCACTCCAGGGGGAAAATACGAAAGAAATGGCTAGAAGGGGGAAGGCTGATGACACTCTAAAGGGTCGCAGGGCCCCTGCAGGTGTGCGCTGGGAAATCAGCATCACTGTCCCTGAAGTTACAGGAAGTTACACTCTGGACACCTGAACAGGGAATTCCTCAAGTCAGAGGAGATGGCCGGGGACACGGAGGCCATGGTGTCCCTCGGTGAACACGGTTCAGAGTGACCACCCCACTGCAGGGATGAGCGGGGGTGGGAAAAGGCTGCCTTGCTCCTCAGCAGGCTCCCTCCCCTCGACACCCGAAAAACTCTAAGTCCTCGCTGAAAGGAGGGGAACCAACCAGTCCAGCAGGCCCCTATCATGAGGACGGGCTCCCTCCGGGGTGGGTGGATGAGGCCGTTGTCATGGATGAGGGCAGGGTCGAAGGAGATGCCATCAGCGTAGAGTGTGACCGTGGGGAACTCCAGATTCAGAGCATAGTGATGCCACTCATCATCACAGACCTTGGGGAGCAGCATGAGGACAAGAAAGTCTCAGTTACTTCCTGTGCAGAGAACTAACCTCACACAGCCCCATCTCCTAGGAGACCAGACAGCCCTGCATATTCCAGCTCTACCAAGCCCAGATCAAAGAATCTTGATTTTCTTGCCCAAAATCTACCAGGCAACCAACCTAGTACGGAAAATTCCACTAGCCCGGTAAACTTTCAAAACTGTAAACACAGAGTTGGGTGCAGTGGTGCACAAGCCCATGATCCCAGCTACATGGAAGGCTGAGGCAGAGAGGGATCACTGGAGCGCAGCAGCTCGAGGCCAGCCTGGGCAACACAGCAAGGCCCCATCTCAAAAAACAAAAGCACTATAAGCCTTAAACGATGTTGTGAACGAATTTTTCCAAAAATATTTGTGGACATATGTCTGGCACTGGAATCGCTGGGGCAGTTTCTACTCAACAGGAACCACTGACACAAACATTCCTTCCCTTGGTAGACTGTCCTGGGGTCGGCCAAGGTGGATGGAACAGGAGAATTGGCTTCAGCAACTTTCCTCTAGGCTCAGGCCTAGGCCCTCTACCCTTCCTCTCTTCACTTTTCCTCAGTTTCCATATTTATGCCAATAATTCCAAGCTCTCCTGCTCCAGCCCGGAACTCACCCTTGAATGCTGGGCTTTCCCTGAGACATCTCGCTGGCATCGAGGTGGCAGTCCGTGCCCCTCCCTTATCCCCCAGTTTGCCCCAGAGTATGAAGAATGGCACCGTCCATCCAGATATTCGAGCAGCTGGCCTGGGAGACCACATGGGTTCCGTTTTCCTCACCCCCACGTCCAGCCCACTGGCAGGTGCTGTCATCCGGGGTCCCAGGGGCACTCGAAGCTGTGGGCTGTGGGTCTCTCCAGCTCCATGGCCCGGCACCAAGGCCCTGGCCCTTTCCTGAGCGCTCCTACAAGTCTTGTCTGTTTACTGCCACTCCCATCTTCCATGGGATCCTGGCAAAATCCAAATCTGATCAGATCACACCCCTGCTTTAAACCCTTCAAAGAAAAAGGCTTCTCGTCTCTCCAACGCTAGCTGTAGCTGACAAAGTCCACCGTGTGCGTGTGCGCAGCCACCACCCAGCTCTGCACTCCATCTCCCGCCTTTCCGCTTAATCCAGTGTACACTAGCCTTCTCGCTGGCCTTCTTCCCTGCCTCAGGCCTTTGTGCCTGCTGTTCCCACTGCCAGGGACTCTTCTCACTCTTCGCATGGTCAGCTGGTACTTACTTATCTTCCAGGATGAAGCTGAGATTTCACCTCGGTCAGGTCTTGCCTGGACATCCGATCTAACATGAGTTCCTCTCTCCTTATCTTCCTCGTGGCTGACTTGTCGTTTGTTTGCTCACTCCCACTTTGTCTGTTAGTTTTGGGTTGGTCATTTGGTGCTGGGAGTGGATTCCAGGGCCTTGGCAGCCCAAGCTCATGTTGGACCCTGAGCTACACCCTCACCCCGATTTCATTTTTTTAAATATGGTTCCTTTAAGGGTTAGTAATGTAGCTCAGTGGCACAGTACTTGCCCAGCATGCACAGGGCCTTTTGATTCCCCAGCATGCACACAAACACACACACACACACACGCTCACACATGCACACACGCACACACACAATTATCTCCCCTAAAATGTAAGCTCACTGAAAGCAAAGATTTCGTTCTATCTAATACTCCTTTGTATGATCAGAACCTAACAGAATGACAGGAACTTAACTGGCATTTATTACATTTTCTTTTTAAAAAACTGAAAGTAAGTTAAGGAAACACTGAAAGGGCAACGTGAACAGTCTTAGCCACGTGGGAGGAAGTGGCAGGCTCTCCTTTCCTTACAAGAGGGCCACAGACAACAGAGGGTCAGGGACCGCCCTCACCTGTCCACTTTGGGATTTTCTAAGTCCATATTTTCTCCTTCTCTTCTAGTCCTTTCCTTTGGTTTTCATTTTTCATTTGCTTACTCAACCACTACCAGGACTTGAAAGGAAATTAGAAGATGAAAGCTGAAATGAGTCCTCACGGGTCCTTGTGAGCTTGAAAAATGAATGAAGAAGAGGCTGGGTAGCCAGGTATGGCGGCACAAACATAATCCCAGCAGTCTGGGAGGTTGAGGCAGCAGGGTCACAAGTTTAAGCCCAGCCTGGATAATTTAGTGACTTAGTGAGACCCTGTCTAAAAATTAAGTGTCTAGGGATGTAGTTAAGTCCAGAAGCACTGGGTTCAATCCCCAGTACCACCACCAAAAAAAAAAAAAAAAAAGAGGCTGTCACTGTTAGCTCAAGAAAGGATTTAAATTTCTTGTCTATTTTTATTTATCCTTTATAATTATAGACAAAAATATGTACGGTAAGTCCTGACTTACAATGTTCGCATTGCGAACTGTCACAGATACGAACAAACCTCGCATTACAAACATTCCACACACAGATGTGAACAAATTGTGGAAGTAGCTCATGTGTTTGCCAGTAAAAATAGTTTATTTACAGTGTGTGTGTGTGTGTGTGTGTGTGTGAGTGTGCAGATATCTTATGCTTTACATTGTATATTTGTGTCAAAGGTGTAGTCGGACTTAAATCTGACTTACGAACATTCTCTGGGAACCATACTCATTCATAAGTCAAGGACTTACTGTGTAAAGTGCTTTTCAGTCTATGAAGTTCTACTATCTCATCTAACCCTACAGCAGCCCTGGGTTATCAAATTCACGCTTAGACATATTAACCAAGATTTCATGGGCAGCGAGCTCCCTGGCAGCCTTCAACCCCATCCGGGCACCTCAGCCTTGCTTGTTTCTTGGTTACAACTCTAAGAGTCAGGGACACTGACAGTTAGGATTCTAGATAAGAAGGGGATTAAACAGAACACAGGAGGTGGCAGATGGGCTTGGTGTTGGCAGGAACTCCCTGCCCACGTCCATTTAATCCCAGAGGGCTCCCTGTGGGCCCACGCCTTGGAAGAAGAGAAAGAGAGAGCCTGGAGCTCAGTGGTCAGGGCTGAGAGTGGAGGCGAAAGAGGGCATGAGGCGGCCCAGGACACACCGAACACCCTTGTGCCGGAGCTGCTCACACCTGCCGGCCCCCTGGGCCCAAAGCCACTCACCTGCTCCAGCTTCCAGAGGAACTTGACGGGCCGGGCGCTCTCGAGCAGAGGCCAGTAGAGGAAGGCAATTCTGCAGCCATGGACAGTCAGTGAGTAGTGAGAGAAGCCATCCTCTGAGGGGACAGGACAGGGACAGGGTCAGGCACAGGCCCGAGGCAAGCTCAGTAGGGAGCTAGTGGGTTAGGAGCAGGGATTCTCTGCATCTCTCTCTTGTGTTTTCATTTCTTTCTTCTCTTGTGCCCTTCCCCCACTCCCCATCTCTCTCTGTCTCTTTCTCACACTCTAGTCCAAGTGACAACTAGGGCTCCTTGGGCTCTGGCTGGCCACCTTGCTCCACGCAGTGCTGCCCAGTCCTCTGGTTCATATGTACATCACGGGTGACAACCCTTTTAGGTCAAGAGAAATGAGGTCAGAGAAGTGGCTGGAAATAAAAGAGCAGGTCAAGGCTGAGCCCTCCCTGGAGGGATGTGTCACTGCAGTTGAGGGAAGACGGGTACTTGGTGGAGGAGCAATTAGCCTTTAGAGGAGGAGGATGGGCTGGTGATGTCTCAATCCAATGGAGGAGCTTTCAGAGGAGCAAAGATGGGGCAGCCCACTGCCTGGTGGGATGCAGGGGGACTGACCAGGTAGCTGCCAATGAGAATGAGAATGATGGAGAGAAATCCTACTGTACTAAAAGCAGGATTTCCACATGTTACATTGGGGATAAATCACAGAAGGTCTGGGAGTGTCAGAACTAGCACCGAGCCAGGTGTGGTGGTGCAGGCTTGTAATCCCAGCTATTTGGGAGGCTGAGGCAAAAGGTGGCAAGTTCCTGGCCAGCCTGAGCAACTTAACAAGATTTTCTCTCTAAAAGGAAGGAAGGAAGGAAGGAAGTTCTACCGACAATTCACAAACGAAGAGCGGGGAAGTGAGTTGTCCACTGGGCAGTGACAGATGCAAGACAGAAAAGCCCCCCTTGCAGACTAGCGCCCTGAGGAAGGCTCACCGTTCTGGACTGTGTTACACACGATGGTTTCCTCTTCCTTCTTGCCTTCCTTCTTGTTGGGAGTCGCACCGTGCTTCATCCAGAAGGACAGGGTAAAGTGGTCGCTGAGGCTGTCCTGGGGTCCAGTGCCCAGCCCAGCTGTGCCTCCCGGGGGCACCTGCACCGCCTGGGTGCCATTGAACCAGTAGATGAGGCTGCTGTCCTGGCTGTAGTGCACCGAGAGTCCCGCTGTCCAGTTGGCATTGGGGCCTGGCATGGGCAGCAGGTCCACCTCCCCAGGGGACGCACCTGTGGGAGCCCCAGGGACACAGTGTCAGCCCGAGATGCAGCAGGGGAGGAACTGGAAGGAGGCAGGGACTGAGGGGCAAGATTTCCTACAGCTGCTCTCGCCCTCTTGTGGCCTTTCAGAGACAAGAGGGGATGCAACGCTCCCCTGAATCTCCTCACAGTGAACCGTTAGCCACCTCTTCAGCTCTTCCTACCGCTGTCCCCTCATGTATTTGGTGACTCAAGCAACAATCGTGCAACTTCGCCAAGCATATATCTACCCACCCTCTGGGTCACAACCCCGCCAAAAGCCAGCAGAGACAAAGGCAGATTTCTGGGAAAGAGGTGAGGATGGTGCTGGAGGAGGGGCACACACACCGCAGAGCTTCCGCAGGGCCCGCTCTGAATAGTTATCTCGGTCACAGCCCTTGGCCACGTGGCTGGTCTGCAGCTCTATGGTGGCCTGAATGTTCCAGAGCGGCTCATCGCAAGTCTCCAGGCGGATACCAGGGAACAAAGCCAAGCTCCCGGCGCCGGGGGCATATTCGATCCTTTTGTTCCAGCCTGCGTGGGGAGACAGAGAGGGCAGTAGAGAGAGAAGGTGACCAGCCTCTGCTATCCATCCTCCTCCTCCTCCTCCTGGGGCCACTTCCGGTCCACAACACTAGGCTAAAAGCTTACCCACACATACCCCAACCTTCAGCATATCCCGTGCCAGTCACAAAGAACAGAGAGGGAAGCCAAGGGGAAAGGATTCATGAGCTTCACCGGGCGGGGCTCCTCACCTTGCCAGCTAGGCTTACAGGTGGGCTTCACCTGGATCTGCACCTCGGCATCATCTGCCGCCCGCTTCTTCCCACAGTCGTAAGCTGTCACCGTGAACTTGTAGAGCTTCTCGCCACTGTACTGCAGTTTCTCTGTGTTCTCAATGTTCCCTGGGGTGGGAGCAGGGCAGGATGGACAGGGTCAGGGGCACCAGAGAAAGCCCAGGAGGCAAAGGGGGTGTTACACGGGACCTAGTTGGGCAGTGGGTGGATTCAGCAGCAGGAAGCAGGAGGAAGGTATCTGGGAGGAAAAGGCTGCACATCCAGAGAGGAGGGTGACGTGAGGGTCTGAGAGGCAGGAAAAGATTAGAGCAGAGTCCTGCAGAATGTGGATGCACAGGGCTGGGCAGCAGGGGCCAGGAGTAGACTCACCGTCGTTGTCAATGAGGAAAGGGGTGTTGGGAGTGAGGATCTCGTAATAGCAGATCTGGCTGTACTGGGGGGAGCAGTCGCCATCGATGGCTTCCACCCGCAGGATGCGATCGTAGAGCTTCCCCTCAGTCACAGCAGCGCGGTATAGCCGCTCCACAAACACTGGGGCAAACTCGTTCACGTCGTTGACCCGCACATGCACAGTCGCCCTGCGTGACCAGAGCAGGAGGACGGACAAGGAAGCATTAGGCACCTCTGACCCGGGAAGAGCAGGAGCTGGAATCTGGATGGGGAGCCAGAGCAGGAGGGAGCCAATCACCCCTGAGCTGGCCCATTGCCGGCACAGGGCACTAGGCTGAGCCAAAGTCAGGCCAGAGGCCAGGCAACATAAGGAGGGGCCCAAAGACGGGAGCTGTCCTAAGGGGAAAGGGACATGCCCCCGGGGCACCGGATCTGACTGAATACTGCGGCACAGGTTAGGGTTAGGGGCGAGATAAAGGGTACCATGAAACCCAGCGGGCCAGGCCCAGGGGGATAACGACAGGAGACGCAGCGTGAAAGCCCAATCGGAACCAGGCCCAAGAGGGAGGCAGCACCAATGTGGAGCCCTCTCTCCACTGTGGCAAGTCTGAGCAGATCTCGTAAGCAGGGGCCACCTCGGCCTGGCCTCTCCCCACTCACGTACCTCCTGGGGCAAGCAGAGCTGGGCTGAGACCCTTCCTGCTGAGCTCTCCCCAGCTGGCCTCGATCCAGGCTCCCAGGGCCCAGAGGCAGAGGTTCTATCTCTAAAACGGCAACTGAGTCACAGGGAACACAGTATCACTAGTGCCTGAGTGCCCAGAAGCCCTCGCTGCAACTGTGCATGTGTTATGAATCACATGCCTGATGTGCTCTGCAAATACCCTGCTCAGGCAGTTCAAAGGGACCTGGACGTGTGCTGGGTGCACTTAACCTGCTCCTCCTTGTCCTCCTCCTCCTCCTCACCATGACCCCCACATATCGAGCCCTTCCCCATGGGGCAAGCTTTTTTTACACAAACCATCCCCCTGAGGGCTGCGGTGCTGCTTGCTCAGTACGCCTGAGGCCCTGGGTTCTACCCTCAAAACAGAACCCTCCGTTGATCTCTCCAGCAACCTTTCCATTCCACAGACAAAAAAGAGCGGACCCAGAAAGGACAGAGGTTGTCCACGGTTGTGAAGGCAAAGCCAGAATGAGGCCGCACTGAACCCTACAGCCTGCTGGTCAACCTGACTGAAGGCCTCAGGCCCTCTCAGCAGCAGCACGGGTGGAGTCGGTGAGGCAGGGACAGAGTGTGGCAGGGTGAGGGAGCAGCCCGGTAAGGCAGGGCCAGGCTCCTCACTTGTGGGACTTCTTGGTGTTGACCCCATCTGGGCCCTCGCCGCAGTCGTAGGCCTGGATGGTGAAGCTGTGCTCCTTCTGGGCCTCGCAGTCCACCGGCTCCTTGGCCCGGATCAGCCCCTCTCCAGTCGCCTTGTCCAGGATCACAGCCTCGAAGGGCACCCCAGACCCGTGGAGCCGGAAGCCACAGATCTCCCCTGGAGGAGGGGAAGGAGGGGAGAAGGGAGGTGTGGGAGGGAGGTGCCCCCCCCACCCCGCCCCCCATCTCCTCTCTTGCAGGCACCAAAGCGTCAGGGATCAGATGCACAACTCCAATCACTTGACCCGGCTTCCCTGAGCAGCAGCCGCCTGGAGCCACAGGGCCTCGAAAAATGCAAAATCGGAACACATTCAACCTCTGCCTGGCCAGGTCCAAGTCCAGCTCCTTCGCGCCCCTCCTTGAGCCGACACTGCTGTCCCAGGTCTCCCCTACTTCCTCCCTGCTCCTGCTCTCCAGACCCCTTTGCTCCGTCCTACCTGCTTTGCCACCCCCAGCCCCAATTACCTGCATAGCGCAGGGGGGCATCCTTGTCCAAGGCAAAGAGCGGCGGGTTCAGCAGGACCGTGTTGTCGTTCTCCATGACAATGCCCTGGTACTCAGCCTCGATCCACGGCTTGTGCTTGTTAGCTGGCCCCGCCCCAGGGGGAAGAGAGGAAGCGCCCATGAGCAGGACCCCCACGCCCAAGACAACCCTTGTGGACACAAGCACCTCACTCCCTGCTGGAGCACCTTGCAGGAGCAGAGGACTGAGGACAAGAAATCAGCTACAGAAGGAGCCCGAGGTCTGAGGGGGGTCAGCACCTTATCCTACTATAGAACGGTTTCCACAGCAACTGCCCTGCCGGCCCTCCATGAAAGGGACAGTCTCCCCTGGGAACCACGGTTAGGGAGGAAGGATCTCCTGACCCCCAGGCCCTCCTCACTGAGCTACATTCCCAGCTAGCCCTTTCTATTTTTATTTTCAGACAAGGTCTCACTAAATCACACAGTTGCCCGGGTTGGACACAAGCTCATGATGCTCCCGCCTCAGCCTCCCAGAACACTGGGCTTACAGGTGTGCAGCGCCACACCGGCTTGGGTGAAGAGTCTTTAGGGACTTTACCTGCTGGGGGATGGAGACTGGGCACTTGGGGAGCAGTGGTGACCCCCAAGGACCCTGGCAAGGAAAGGGATAGATGAAGGGCGGAGTAAAGATTTAGAAGTTTCCTGAGATCCTGACCATTTCTCCTCTCCGCCACCCCCCCACTCCGCACTTCTCCTAGAGCAGAGGAAGAGGAGAGAGGACAGAGGGAGGGGCAGCAAGGGGCAGCGCCACAGGACTGGACCCAGCAGCACCTCGCCCTGAAGGATTACGGACCTGGCCCAGAAGCACAGCCGGGCCTTCCCCGCTCCCGCTCCCACGCCTGGAGCAGTCACAACCAGCTGTCGCTGTTTCCCACAAGACTTCCCAACGCCAAGTGCCCCGGACCCCACCGTGACACAGACCCATGACTTCACCCCAGTTCTGGCCCACACCACCGCTCTTCCCTTCAACCAGCAGCCAAGGCAGGCAGAGGTGTAACTAGTCGCACCCCATCTCCCCACCTCCGGCCACTCAGTCTGGTCCCCAGGGCCCACAGCCCCCAGCTGTGAGGCTGCAGGGAAGGGAGGTGGTCATCGGGCTCCCTCCCCTCCCCTCTCCTCCCCTGCGGGCACTCTCTGAGCCCATCTTGCCCACACACAGACAAAGCCTATTCGCGACAGCCCATCAGCTGGACACGGCGGGCATCATCGGGGGAAACTGAGTCACCAGACCTCAGCCCCAGTATCCCACAGAGGGCGGGCGAGAAATCCCGATTGCCATTCTCCTCCAGCCACAGCCCAGCACGCTCCCTGCCAGCTGCATGCCTGCCCCTGACCCTCTCTTGCCGACCACCACAGCCCCTACCCTAACAGCCGGGAGGAAGCTGCAAGGTGGTGCACAGGAGGCCACGCAGGAAGTGGCAGGAGGCTCAGGAGCCAGGCTGAGGTCCTGGGCCAGGAGCTCCCACCACAGGCCAGGCCAGACAGAGAGAGCAGACACAGGGCTGTGACAGGCAGGGCCAGAGCTGGGTGCTTTCCCATAGCCCCCCTTCCAGCCCCGCTGCCCTCCTGCTCCTGAGCCTCCTAAGCTCCCTGCTCCCCTCTCTCGGCCCGCGTCTCATCTCGCTGTCTCCCGTGTGCTTCCCGGTCACTCATCCCAGGCTCCCTGCCTCTTTGGCTCCTTGCCCCTCTTCTCACCTCTCTTCCTGCTTCTGCATCCATCTCTCTCTGCCTCCACCTGTACCTTTCTGTCTCCTTCTTGCCCTCTCCCACGCCTCCTCTCCCCCTCCCCACTCACCAGCACCCCACACGCCCCCTTCTGCCTGCCTCGCCTTCCCTTTCCCTGCCCGTCTCCCTCCACCACCCTCCCTCGGTCCCTCTGCCGGCCTCTCCCAGCGCAGATGTCCGCTGACGCCGGCCGGAGAGGGCGGCTCTGCCACCCACAGCCCAGCCGGCACAGGAGAAGGGTAGGGATGCAGAGGACCACGCAGAACCTACGTGCTCCGAATTGCAGTTTCTCCCCAGGATGGAAGGGAGAGCAGCAGACGGTCCCTCGAATGCGGGGACCCAGGAGGGGCGGTGGGACCCATCGGGGCGAGTCCTTCTGAGACCCCAGGGAAACTGCAGACAAGGCGGGGAGACCCGGGGGGAACGGACCCAACGGAGCCAGGCGACCAGCAAGGGAAGCACATGGGTAGAAAGATGAGCCAGGGAGGACGGGGCCCTGGGAAGTGAGGCAGCTAGGAAGGAAGCAGGCCTGGGAAAGCAGCGAGAAGACGGTGAAGAGGAAGGGCCACCTGTCAGGTGTCACAGCCGGCGCCCCCCCCCGCCCACCCCACCTGGCGCTCCCCACACCTGTCAGCCCGCCACCCCCTCACTCACCTTTGTTGCCGCAGCTGGGTGGGAACAGCGAGGCCAGCATCAGGGGCAGCAGCAGCAGGGTCATGGTGCGTGGGGGGCAGGGCCAGGCCAGGATCCGCCGTCCCCTGGGAGCCTCGAGCCTTCGGATTCCACCTCGGGGAGGTGCAGGGCTCCCCAAGGAGGAGGGGCAGCGGGCAGTGACAGAAAGGGCCTGCTGCCCTTACTACCTCATAGGGCAGGCCAGGGAGGACCCCAGTGTGGCGCTGAGAGGGCACCGGCCGCGGCTGCCTCTCGATCCCTCGGAGCCCCGCGTCCTCTCTCTCTCCCTCACTCCCACCCCATCCCCGCTACTGCAGGATGACGTCAGCACAGGCAGGCCAGGATTGATGGGGCCGCTGGCCAATCGGGTGACTGCGGGCTCCAGGTGCTGCAGGGGAGGGAGCCAATGGGACCGGAGAGCAGGGGCGGGACAACGTGTTAGGGCTCTTCCCCCACCCCCCCCACCCCGGACTGCAATTTGGGGGAGCAGAGGAACTGCGGGGGCCGGGGAGGAAGCTGGGAAGCCACAGAGGGGCGGGAGGCAGAGGGATGATGGGCGAGGGGGACGCTAGAAGGCGGGGGTAGGTGGGGGTAGGCGAGGGGGGCGTCGGGGAGACCTGCGGGTGGCCCGAGGGGCGCCGTTCGCCACAGCCACCCCAGCTCTGCCCGCCCCAGCTCTGCGGTGCCCTCTTCCCGGCCCGCTCCGTCGGCAAGTCCCCGTGCGCGCCTTCGGGGGCTGGAAGCAAAACCCTCAGCGAACAGAGAAACCCTGGCTCTTCAGTTCCCAGCCCAGGCGGCGAAGGAAGCCCCGGGAGGGTATGCGGGCGCGGGGAGAGCAGTGCCCGGCCCTGCCATCCCCGGGCACACAGCCCTGCCCCGGCCCCTGCCACTGCCCCTGTCCCTGTCGGGCGACCACAGGCTGGATATCCGGCCGCTTCTCCTACCTCCCTGGTCCCAGCTTTCCCTTAAACTGCCATGAGGCAGCCCAGTGGCTTCGGGGCCCAGACACGTTTGGGTTTGGGAGAGAGGTGGGCAGGTGGGGAGAGGGCACACTCACGTTCGTGCCTTTGCACACCTGCTAAGCACGGGCTGTGTGTGCAAGGGCGGCTCAGGAGAGGGAACCCTGTCTGCCTCCCGCTCAAGGGCCTCGAAGGACCGAACCTAGCGCGACAGTGCAGGGACCCAGCTCAGCCAGGCAGCTGAAGAAACTCGGGACGGGGCTCCAGGGCTGTCTTCTTGGTGACTCCCGGCCAGCTGGCTGTCCCCACCGCGTCCCGCACCCCTCACTGGATCCCTGACTCCACGCAGAGTCTAGCACCCCCTGGGATTCAGCCCCACCCCACACAGTGGGCGGCCACAGCCCGGGCGGATTCTGCGCCCCGCCCCCCAGCCCCGGAATCCCAGCCCTCCAGAAGTGAGGCGGGGGCCAAAACAGACCTTGGGAAAGGTACACATTAGATGATTCACAGCCCCGTCCCTCTCTGGGTTCCTTCCCCAGGAAAAGCGGAGATCAGGCTGGGCTTTGCTAAGTCCCAAACCCTTCCCAGGGAGGGAGGGAGGGACTCTTATTGCAGCAGGGCCCCAGCCTACAAAAGCCCTGGCCAGCAACCTTACCACACAGCACCCTCTCCCTCTCTCAGCTGTCCCCTGCGTTCCCCTGAGATCTTGGGCTCCATCTTGGCCACCCAACATGCCTCCCAACCTCACGGGCTACTACCGCTTTGTCTCGCAGATGAACCTGGAGGACTACCTGCAGGCCCTAAGTAATGCCCCCCTCTTCCTCCCACTTCTTCCCTCTCCCTTCCCACCTCTGGGTCCCACTGGGCAGGGCACCTGGGGATGGACTGGGGAGGGCCTGGTGGGATCCATTTCCAGCCCTGCCTTAGGCGCCGCTCACACCTCACAGCACTGGCAGGAGCGCACACTTGGCCCACCTAAGACTCAGCCCCCACAGACATCAACGTGGTCCTGCGGAAAATAGTGCTGCTGCTGAAGCCCGACAAGGAAATCGAGCACCAAGGTGACCACATGGTGGTGAGGACCCTCAGCCCCTTCCGTAACTATGTCATGGAATTCGAGGTGGGAGTCGAGTTCGAGGAGGACCTGAGGGTCGTGGATGGACGGAAATGCCAGGTACTTTCCTGGAGTGTGGGGCAGGGTCACCTCCAAACAACAAGGCTGAAGCAAAGGGACTCTCCCAGCCACAGGCAGGGGAGGCGAGCACCGAGCAGGGCCCCCCCGGCACCGGGTACCAGTCTCTGGTAATCGGCTCCTGGTTCCCCCTCCTCCTTCCTCCCCTACTCCTTCCTACTTTTCCCCGCCCCCTTGCCCCCCCCTTATCGTCAGCCGAAAGGACAAAAAAATCAGACCACCTGCCCCAGGCCAATCAGCAGACATTGCTGGCCTTCCAGCGGCTGACACTGTGAGCCACCACTGTCCCTCTTTCCACTACTGGGGACCGAACCCAGGGCTTCACACTGCGCTGCATCTCCAGCTCTTTTTTATTTTTTATTTATCCTGTTGAGTTGCTATGTTGCCCGAGCTGGGCCCAAACTTGTGATCCTCCTGCCTCAGTCTTCCAGAGGGCTGGGATTCCAGACCTACACTGCCACACCCAGCTGCTTTTACCTAGCATCTGTCACCCTACTTTCCTCCATTTCCCCTACTTCTTCTGTAGCCCTTGTTGATCCCTTTTACAGACAACAGTTTTCTTAATAATTCCTTAAATTGCAGTTTTCGCCCAGCTTTCTGTCCTTATCCTTCTCTCTGTCGCATCTGTACGCCCTTCTTGGGCTGAGCCATCTGGACCCAAGCTTTCTGCTGCTATCCGTAAACTACCCTTGACATTTCTTCTCCAGCCAGAGCCTTCTGAGCTCCAGGGCGATGCTTTTAGCTGTCTGCAAAATACTCCCATCTGTGCCCATGGATTCATTATATTCTTGCACAACCCTAAACCACCGTCTTTGTTGATGGCAATAACCAGCCGGACCAGAAGTCATAGGCGATGTCTCTTGTTTCCTTACTTCCGTGCTCCCAGCATACACAGGCACATGCACACGCACACACACACACACACACACACACAAACGCGCGCGCGCACGCGCGCACGCGCAGGCCCACGTTAAGAAGTCTTCGGGACACAACCTTTCTGCACTGTCCAATACAGTAGCTACTAATTATATAAGGCTGTTGGACATGTGACAAATACCTCATCCAAATGGAAATGTACTATAAGGATAACACAGATACTGGATTTTTCTTTTTCTTTTCTTTTCTATTTTTTTTTCAGTACTGGGGATTAAACCCAGAGCCTTCACACTGAGCTACATTCCTGATCCTTTTTTGATTTTCTGTTTTGAGACAGGATCTCACTAAGTTGCCCAGGCTAGACTCAAATTTGTGTTTCTCCTGCCTCAGCCTCCCAGAGTGCTAGGATTATTGGCAAGGGATATGCCACCATGCTTGGCCTTTGATTTTTAAACAGTATCAAAAAAAGAATGTGAAACAGCTCAGAAATGTTTATATTGATCACATACTGAAATTCTAATACCTTATTATTTTAGGTTAAATAAAATATATTATTAAAGTTGAATTCATCTCTTTCTTTTTCCTTTTCTAATTAAGCTCCCAGAAATGCTTTATATATGTAAGCTTGCATTTTTGATCCATTTTGTTCCCAGTGAAATGTTACCCTTCTAAATGACTCATCTGTTCCTTCCTACTCTATCACCACCTTAAGGCCTTCATTTCTCACTGGATGTCCAAAGTTGGTCCCCAGTCTTAACCCTCCTCTGCTCTGCCACAGGACCCATCTGTGATCTAAAAGAGGCCTTGTCTCTCCCTGATTTACACCCTTCCAGTGATGATCTTTCCCAGACAAACCCCACACACCCAACAGGCCACACAAGGATGGGGCCTGGGAACCAGCCCCTCGCTGTGTTCCCACATACAGTCTAGGCTGGGCTCCATCAGAATGGTCTGCCCTTCTTTCTTCTATGCTGTTTCTTTCCTTGCTCAACATTTCTGGTTATGTATCTCCAATGTAATAACTCCCAACCTGAAGACTGGGCTCATCCCCCCTTCCCCATTCCCAGCCAACACTCCCGGGCATCCTAGCTCTCTGGGCAGTGATCTGCCCTCATCAGACCCAGCTCAGCAGGCCTGTCCACAGGAAGCCTCCATCAAGGTCAGTGCTCAGAATGCCCAAGCCAGAGGGGTCAGTCCTTCATTCCCAGTGTCCTTGAAACTGAAAGGGACCAGTCTCTCTTCTTCCTCAAAAGACCCTCTGGATCAGCTGGAGACATCCGAAGGCAGAGCCTCCATTCTTTGTCACCCTGGTTTTCCTGCTCCTCTCCTGCTCTCCCCGAATGTCACCATGGACAAGGCTCCCTGGAGGCCTTCAGGAGTGGAGGAGGGGAGTTCTGCTGAAGCAGAGTGTCTGTCCCAGAACGGAGGGGCCGGAAGAGACAGAGTGACCTGGGAAATATTTGGGGCCCCCATCCCCCAATCTTCTTTCATCTCCCCTTTAGACCATAGTGACCTGGGAGGAAGAGCAGCTGGTGTGTGTGCAGAAAGGTGAGGTCCCCAACCGGGGCTGGAGGCACTGGATGGAGGGAGATAAGTTGCATCTGGTAAGTGGAGGGGAGACAGGAGCAGGGTTGTCTGGGAGGGGCCCAGCCAGGATGCGCCCCCTAGTGCAGTCCCCTAGGGAGCCCACCCTACTACCCCAGCCCTGCCTCAGCACCCCAGCAAGGGGCCAAGCAGGGAGCAGGGAGAGGAGGAAAAGTGGCCAGAGCAGGCCCTGGCCGCAAGTCAGACGACGCTCATAAATCAAAACAGGCAGAGATGGCCACTTCGAGTCTCCTGGCCCAGCGCCCTTCCTTCTTCAGGGTGAGGAGTTGAGGAGCAATTCCCCATACATCAAATGCGCTAGCTGCTGCTTCCTGAGGAAGTAAACAGGTCAAAGGCAAAGTCGTTGAGAAAGGGGCTCCAACTGGGGAGACCCCTCTTCCTCTCTCCTCCTCCATCCCCAGGAGCTGACCGCGAAGGACGCCGTGTGTAAGCAGGTCTTCAAGAAGGTCAGATAGGCCAGCAGGAGCTGGCCCTCCAGGCCCTCCTCCGTGTGCCCCCTTGGAGCCCAGACTGTGCCAGGTCAGCGTCCTCGGCCACTCCGGCCCCTCCTCAGCCCCCACTTGTTCATCGGGAACCTGCAGCCCAGGTCACAGCCCCTCTGCTCCCATACTCCACCAGCCAGCACCAGCCCAGCCCCGTGTCAAGGTCTGGCCCCTGGGTGCTGAGAGACATGGAACCGTCTTCCCTCTCATTCCCTTGGCTTCTTACTTTCCTAGGCTCTGGGCACTTGTCAGTTAGTCAAACCTATCCTGGTGGGTCTTTGGGAAAATTGTGACTGGGTTCAAGGTTTAAATGGAGGCCACTTGGAAGAGTCTGCTTTGTTCCTTTCCTTTTTTGAGAGAAAGTCTCATGTACTTGACGGAGCCCAGCTGAGGAGGCTCGCCAGCATCAGAGGGTGTCCTAGCCATTTGACCCCTCCTTCCCATGGGGAGAGGAAAGGGGATAGAGCTAGTCAAGACCTTTGTCCCAAGAGCTTCCAAAAGTGTCCCGCCTCCATGGCTGCTTGGGAAAGAGCGGCAGCAAGAAGGCCTGCAGAGACCAGAAAGGGAAGCAGATGGAGGACGCAAGGCCAAGCATGAGGAGATGAGGGATCTGTGGGGCCCGCAGGAGGAGCCCAGGAGGGGTGGCCACACGGACCTCAAGGCCAGCAAAGCTGGAGACAGGGGTCAGGGGGAGAGCTAAGGCCAGCAAGACCACTCCCCCTCCGAGTCCAAAGTCTCTGCCTAGGAAAACAGCCCAGCGGGTGGAGCTGTTCAGGGTCAGGCCCAGCTCCAGCCTCAGCCAGGGCCTTGGTCCATTCAGAATAAAAGTCCGGCAGGACTGGGCACAGAGAAGAGCCTGGAAAGGGCGGGCAGGGGGTTTGGAGACTCCCTGGCCTTCGCAGATGGACACCCTCACCCCCTTTCCTTCGGTGGGGAGGCCCCCACATACAAGAATCGGGGGGCTCTGGCCGAGAACTAGGCTTGCGCCCCTCACCCCAACACGCACTGTGCAATGAACTTGGAGTTGACTGAGCCGCTCATTCCCTGCCCGGCCTCCCCAAAGATGTCCCCAGCAGCGTGGGCCATAGGGACTCTTCTGCCACAGCCACCCAACGGAAGTTGCCGAGTTGCCCCATTGTCCAAGCCACCAGGTCACCCTGGTGTCGACTGTCCTCCTGGGGGTTTGCTGCTGTCTCCCCTGTGGGCAGCAGGGGGCGCTGCACACATCAGTGGAAGCCAGAGATCTTCCAGTTCAACCCTCTGACCTCTACCACCTTCTTGGATGTTCTGCTCCTCACCACACACACACACCCCCACACACACACACCAATTCCCAACCCACACAAGACCCTTACCCCTCCTTCAAATCAAGCTGTTTCATCTTCAGAGATGAGGTCGCCCCAGGAAGAAACATGCAAGGGAGGGAGTAGCCTTGCCCAGGGCTCACAGAGCTGTGGAGGTGACTCAGTTGACCAGAGTCTTAGACCCCAGAGGCACGATTAAGAATCCAAAGTGCTCACTTCCATGTGAGATAGAAGTGCGCTCCCCTAAACCAGGCCCGAGCTCCGCTCCAACTCCCAAGAGAGCCCCCTGACAGGACAGAAGAGGCAGCCACCAGGTTGGGGCAGCTCTGTGGACAGCCGTGCTCCATGCTCCGCCCCGACCAGAGGCCATGGAGGTCCTGGGGGAAGGAGATGGAGCTGGCCTTCCACATGGACCATTCTACCAAGGCCAAGGGTGGCCCTGTCCTCCAGGACTTCCGGGCCCACTGTCTGGCTGGAGGTGGGGCTTCTGCCTCCCTCTACCCCACTCATCCCCAAGCTGCACTTCTACCTTGCTCTACTCTGGCCCCTAGGGGAAGGGACAGCCCTGGTAGCCTCTGTTCTGTACCCAGGGTGCAGTGCCCAGAGGGTCACCAGGGTAGCCAGGCCATCAGCTTCATGGGTACATCACTTCCCAGAGGTTCTACATGAACCTAAAATGACACCAAAGTGGGTCAGTGAGCAGACTTGCTGTCAAACTGCCACCTGTTATTAGCCGTATGAGCATGTACAGGTCACCACCTTTTAGCAAATAAGCCACACGTGACAGGGACCCCAGGCAACACCAAGAGCATCTCCTTCCTCCTGGGGATTTTGTGAAGATTCCACTCCTGTCCCTCAGAAGAGTCCTGCGGACAGAGTAGGCACCAACAAATGTTGGCTACTCTTGCTTGTATTATTCCCTTCCTCAGAACCTGATGCCTGGAATTCTCCCAATCAGAACCAAACCCTTGTCTTCTACAGTTTAGGACAAGGCTACAAGTGCTAGTACCCCTGAAGTCACGTAGTGACATATTTGTACCAAAGTATAAGTGACCAAGAGCAAGAAGTGGAGCTGGGATCTAGCATCTTCTTCTTCCTTCTTCTGCACACAAAACAATAGCTGTGGCTTCTTCACTGATCCAGGTGGGTGACACAGTGCAGAGCTAAAAGGACCATTGGGGGAGTCACTGTCACTCTGTTGCCCTGGGTAAGTCATTTCACCACAGGGAACCTTTGCTTCCTCACTGGACTGACCCTCTTCTGATCCTCTAGGACTGATCTACTCTCTTGCCTTCTACACCGCTCCCTCCCCTTGGCTTCCTCCCTCTTTTCCTGGGTGTCCCAGAAAAGCCCTGCTCACTCCATATCCTTGGCCCAGCTGCAAGGAAACTATTGCGTCCTTAATGTAAGTGAAACTCGTCCTACTGGGCCCCGTGGAGACAACTCACATGAGAAGGGGTAGCAAGATGGCAAAGGCCCCTCTCCTTGAGGTCACCCCCCAATCCCTAATCCCACTCATTCTCCCCACCACTTCTTTCTTTCTTTCTGAGTGGCACAGAAAGGACAAGGTAGACCATTGGAACCAGGTTTATTAGCCTTGCAGGAAACAAAAGGGAAATAGAACAGAAAGAAATAAACTTGATTATTGCAAGCACAACCTCCTCTGTGATCTTATTGTCCAAAAAATGGATGGTGCATGACACAGCAAAACTTCCCTGCTATCACCAAGCCAAGCACATGCACAGTATGCTTCAAGTCCTTTGCTAAAGGACTTTGCTTCAGGATGGAACTCCACACGAAGCCCACAGGGTGTGGGAGCTCTGGAACTCGACTCTCCAGCCTCAGAACCTCCTCCTGTGACAATCTGCTGGTGTGGGAACTTGTGCAATCTTCAAGATGCACCTGTGGCTCAGGTGTCCTCAGACAGAAAGGGAATTCTGTCTAGGATTTTTCTCTTATTTTTTTTCTTAGTTACTTCCTCATTGTTGGGACAAAATACCCAACACTCATAAGTTAATGGAAGAAAGGTTTATTTTAGCTCCCAGTATATAGAGGTTTCAGTCCATAGTTGGCTGGCTCCAAGCCACAGTGGCATAACAGAGGGGCATCACAGAGGAGAGACAGTCCATGGCAGGGTAAGCAAGAGGCAGTAAGCACCAAGACTTCCTTTCCCTTTTTACTCCATCCAGGCTACAAACCTATTTGTTGGTGCCACCCACTGCCAGGGTGGACCTTCCCATCAACCACACCCAGAACCATGTTAAGCCAGTCAGTGGACTAATCCAGTTATCACACACCCTTAATCTATATTCACACACTCATGATCCAGCCACCTCCCAAAAGCCACATGAGGCTTGTATAGGCATCTATATATGTCATAACTCCCATCCTGTCTCCCTCTCTCTCTCTCTCTCTCTCTCTCTCTCTCTCTCTCTCTCTCTCTCTCTCTCTCGCTTTCTCTCTCTTCAGTACTGGGAATTGAACTCAGGACCTTCACCCTGAGCTACATTCCCAGACCCCTTTTTAGTTTTATTTTGAGACAAAGTCTCACTAAATTGATAAGTTGCCCAGGCTCAGCTTCAACCTGGAATCCTCCTGCCTTGGCCTCCCAAAGTGCTGGGATTACAGGCATGTGCCATCACACACAGCTTCATCTCTCCTTTTCAACAGTTTCTTAGGTCTCTTTAATACTTTGCTATCCTCCAAAACCTGTCTCCTCTTGTGTTTGGCTTTCTGTCAATCATACTTTTATCTATACAGTCCTGCTACCAGATGGGGATGGATTGAGATGCCCTTCAGATCTTAATGTGGAGAAGGACAAGGTCAGAGCCCCCAAAGCTACTTTGTTGGGGGATTTTCCCCCGCTCAGTACCAGGAATCAAACTTGGGACCTTGCACTTGCCAGGCAGGCGTGGCACCACTGAGCTACATTCCCACCCCTTCCCCAAAGGTACTTTGGATTCAACTTAATGCACTGGAAAAACAACCAGGCCTAGCAAAAATAATATCCTGCTAACTAATTGCATTTATTATATTGAAATAATATATCTGCTTCTGTAACAGCCATTCACCAAGGTGCTCCAAGGCTCCCTGCTTTCTGGAATTCCCACTCCAGGCCTCCCTCTGCCTTGCTTTCTATCTTGGGACATGCAAGTGTCCTATACAGAGGGCCATGTGTCTCTTCCCACAGCCGTGGGCGTGTGCCATCTTGAGGGCAGACACAGCCCTGGCCACACCTCCACTGAAGCCGAGAGGGAAACCAAGCCAAGACCACCCTTCCACCCTCTTCTGGGCTCCTGATACTCGGAAGCTGTGTGAAATAACACATGGGTGTTGTTTTAAATTGCTGCCAAGTGTGGAGACAATTTGCTACTAAGAAGTAAATAACACATAGTCCCAACCTTGAATTTCACTACCAGTGACCACCAACCTAGCACCATAGCTTCAGTATTTGCCACACTGGAAAAAAACAAATGGGGGGGGGAGCGGTTGACTTGGGGCAGTAAAGACATATTCAGCCACAAAAACATATGGCTGTATGCTGCATGCTCACTGACCTCCCATCCCAGCCAGCACCCTGACACCATCTGCCCACTGGTGCAAGGGCCTTGTCTCAGCTTTGCCTCTCTACAGGTCTACAGAACCCATGGTTCCCCCAGGTAACTGTTAAAAGGAATCTCCAGCCCCTCAGGTATGTGGCCATTTCAGTGGGACAAGTGCATCAGAGTGGGGCTCCTGTCAGGGCGGACACCTCAGATGGGGCAGGGAGCTGGGAACGACTGTGGAGGACAGAGCAGCAGGGTCCAAGGTACACATCCATGAAGGAAAAATGGTGTCCCAGACCTACAAGCTGGTCACACCTCCCAGAGTAAGGACAAGCTCTGGGTGCTCCCTGCCTTCCAAGGCCGGTGTAGTGCTAGAGCCAAAGGTCCCTCTGCCGACAACAGGGTGACTGAGCTGGGCAGGTGCAGATGAAGAAGTCTCTGCCATCCGGGTACCCAGATCTGAGGCCTACAGGAGGAGCCTTC